TTCTTCATCTTGCATTAGACGTAGTAAGGCTTGAAACGTGTTGTTGAGAGCGGTCTTGAATTTGTTGAATTTGACTGTATGTCGAAGGAAGTAAATATTGAACCTTCGCATTTGTGTTTGTCCACTAATCCAATGCTTCTTTGGTTTTAGTTTCACCTTAGCAATCATCAGGTGGTGATCGTAAAATATGTCATCTCGTCTCCTGATTCTCACGCCTTCAATTGATCTTGTGAATATATTAGTTGTACAAATATGATCGATCTTGTTCTATGTGATATGGCCTGTTGATACACATGTAGCTTTCTGTGGGAATATTGTATTATCTATAGCCAATTTGTTGAATGCATATAAATTTGCAAATCTCTCAACATTCTCGTTTGTTTATTCCAGTCATTCCATGTCATCCTATGATATCTTAAAACCTGGTGTTGTTCATTCCGACTTTGGTGTTTTGATTTCTCATCAGGATGACCAGGTACTTCAACAAGCACTTAGCTAATAATCGATTGCAGCCTCTCGTAAAACTAATCAATTCCGTAGTCATTGCTATCGTTGGTGGGTGCGTTACATTGGCTGAAATGCAATGTAGTTCCCTACTGCTTTGCTTTGAAAGATTCTCTGATGATCGTGGGTCCATGAGATTCCCATCCAATAAGTGCATTTTGTGCTTCTTTGCACAGCATCAAAGCAATTTACTGAATATGTGCTACACTTTGTTCTTCATGATCTGAGTACTGAAGCAACTCTTCTGAATCTATTCTTTTCTGTCCAGCTTGGATTTGATGTGTTTCACTGATTTTGAGCACCATCTATTTGTATCCCTCATTTCCATAGCTATTTAACTAGTTCTCCCGATTTCCCACATTTTCTGAACATTTCATGCACCAATTAAAATTGTTGCTCTGGTCTTGATGTTAAACGGGGAACGACATTCACCACGAGGCATCATAATTCTTCAGGAGCAAGAAACCTCAACTCAGACAACACGGTTGAAATGGTTTAATATGTTTGTTCTGGTTAGCGTTTTTAGCAGGGTTGTTTCTTTACGGGATGCAGATGCCGTCCTCATGCCCAACCCTCCTCCTTTTTCCGGGGTCGGGACCGACAGTAACCCTAGATGAGCAACAGGTGTGACTTAGTTTATTTTAGCTTAGGTAGAAATTAACTCATTCTGACTAGCTTATCTGTGATTGGTTACTCTCAGACGTTTGGTTGGCTGCATTTATCTTTGTATTCGTAATAATCACTTTATTCTGTTAACCTATTTATACATGATTAACTGACGTTTCCTGTACAGGTCTGTAAAATAGGTCCATGACGACATGCCTAATGAATTCTGATTGAATTCAGTTCTGTGTTTCCAGAAAGTTTCTCAATAGTTTGGAATCAACCAATTCAGGATTTCGAGGTTTTCCCAACCAAACTCGTATCTGTAGTTGTCTTCTTTTACTGATGCAAGCGATTGCATGTACGTTTATGTATGCGTAAACGAAGGAGGCATTCAGTTAATTTAGTGTAAATTTTGTTGCAGCTGGCGTAATTTCTTTTATGGATATGTTTCAGAGAGAATACATATTATAAGTAATACAGCATTCATTTCCAATGAGAATAAGTAAATGAACCTCTCTTTGTGTATATATGTTGTAGAATACGAATAACATCCACGGTGATAGGAACCCTTTATTATTATTATTACAATTACTGCCTTTCATTACGAAGCTCTGAAAATTGTTGAGTTTGATTGAAATCAGGAACTGGTCCAGGTTTTCGATGGTTATCTAACTTAGATTGATTAGTGGTTTCAAGAAAATTATTTACTTGTTTATATTCAGCAGAAATTTGACCACTGACATTTATTTTAGTGGCGATAAATGTAAATGATTCTTCATAAATAAGACGAATTTAGTCATTCCCATTGTTAAAGCAAATGATTCAATAGTTAAGATCATATTTACATTAAGGAATAAACAAAAGCAGCTTATGAAAGTTAGTATTTACAAAACTGATGTGAACTATGATTGTAATCTAGCATTTAGTTTGTACTTCAGAATGTTTATCATTTTCGATGGAACATTATCATGAACCATTTTTATAATTATTTACAATGGAAGTTTGCTTAGTTGGTGCAGGAATGTTAGTATTTATAAACATAAAACAAGTTGAAACATATCATGTTGTTTTCATTGTAGTTGATAGATTTCCTTTTGAATACAAACTGTTTGTTCTAAATATCCATATTGTTAGTATAAGTTTCTACCATTGTGAATTGTTTAAAACTATTAGGAGAAATATACAAACTAGGATTACAAACCAATGCTATCATTTTAAGTGCAATAAATACACACAATAATAACAATGTGGTGTGTGTACTACTGATGTCGATAGATATAAGTAGTATGAATCACCAATCGGAAGTGGAATGCCTGGAGGCAGAAGGTTGAGAAGACAAAAGAGAAGTGAACGAGAACAAAGAGTGATTGGTATGGAGACGAAGTATCAACGAAGTCTGAGACAATTGATGGACATTTTGCGAATGAATTATTTAATGTATCATTCTCAGATTTTACTAAGAAATTCTGTAATTTCATTTCTCAATATATTTAGTTGTCCCTATCTGTGTCCTCGTCACCTACTTTACTTGTCGCCTCAATAGTAATGATAAAGATGTATAACGTGAAATGTTCGACTTGTCAATCTATCGATCATTACCATCAAGTAAAGACATACGTAAAGCATAATTTGTATTCTTTCGTCTACAAGGATAACTCATATACGTCATCAACAGAATTTGAACGGCACTAAACTATGGAACTATATGATATTGGTTCTCTCACAGTGATCAATCAGTATAGCTGATAACTAAACGGTTCAAACCGTTAATGTTAGCGGCATTGAAATGATTGTAGAGCTGTTTTACTTTTCCATTGTTAACAATAAAATGATAGAAATAGTGAATCTAACAAATCTTAGTTAATTTGTGTAAAACACAATTTACGTTCCATACGGAATTCCTAACACGTACAACTTTGTGAACAAATTATAATTTTAGATTATCATTATTATAATTAGTGGATTTATTCAATTTTACATTTTTGGTACAATATAGAATCCTCACCACAATATGATGAGTTTAGTTTAATTAAATAGCTCTATGTTTTTCTTTGAATAAATTAGAACCAATGAATTTAATGAGATATTATAAGTTTACTAATCATTTCACTACATTAACTCGAATCCAGTAATGATTATCAACTTTAAGATTCAGGTGAATCCAGCTGACGAGTCCCAAATTGGATTCCACTTCTAGCCACCATCCATCTTTGCATGTACAGCTTGTGACTTAAGGCAACATCGCGACAATCCGCACAGGATGCATATATGCCGATAACAGACTGGTCAAATGCAGTCCTAAACAACAATCAGAATATACAAGCAAACAACACCAAGTGAAATTAATTCATTAGTTTGAAAGTTTAAGATTTGAAGTTGTAAATACTTCATTGATATATATGCGGTGATGATCTTTCATTCACATGACTGTCAAGTAAAAACAACACTTATGAATGATATAGTTACAATACTCAATTGTCTTGTAATATGGGATTTGATTACGTAAATGACAATAAAATGCAAATACGCCTCAACCATAGTTAAATTTTGATTGCAAATATCACACAAGTTATTTGACTTTAATGTTCCGTCTACAAAGCTTCTTAAGTGTTGAATATTTTCAACACGAAATCAACTATATTTCTTGATGTTTTTTCGAAGACACTGAAGGTGACAGTTATCTTGGACAGACATTATCTTCTAAGCGTTTAGAGGTCTTACTGAAAGTCTCGACCCATTCGAAAAGACCTATTTTATGACGTGTTAGGTTTGTAACCAGTCTTCCGAGATTTTAAAAAACCGTAGGCAAATCAATTCGCATATGCACTAAAGAGATTATGTGTGTTCTTACTCAAATATGTAATTTGTTGTACTCTCAATTATTTCAGATAATTTGTTATGTTTGCAACATTTTTTTGTAGATTTTGCATATTTCTAAATAATCGGAAATAGAAGACAACGGCAAAATATTTTGCATTCTGTTAGATCCAACAGTTTGATGGGTACATTCTACAGTACAATAAGCAGAAATCATTTGATCTGTGCTAACATTACATCATAATTGTTAGTGCATAATTGTCTGAGCGTACGTTTCTCTTGTAAATAGCTTGTACATAGTTTTATTAAAAAATTCTGACCTGTGATGAATACAGATTGATTTGCACAAATTTTCCAAGTGAAAAACACCTCTCAAAATAGACGTTATTAGAAATGCTTAAGAAAACCGTCATTGGAATTGGTGGAGGAATAATGTGGAAGATGAAAGCTAACTATTATTTATTACATTCTATTGTTATCTACATTCATTATGTATCTAAAATGCTGCAAACCACTTCAGTCATCGACTAGTCGTGTAAATCTTAATTTTTTTCAATCTAAAACATAACACCACTTTGTTGGCTACGGCTTTTTAAAATACTTCAAGCGTAACTGAGTGAAAACGATATTTGTTTTCAAACAGCATAGATAAATTACCAGTACGACTAAATCTATTGTATCTGATACTGGTTGATAGTACTTATATATTGTATATTCCATCACCAATGACATTTTGGTGTTTGAATGAACTAATGATTCCTTTGTACTTGTTCATTGCTTGATATCGAGTTCTAAATACAGTACATTCGTTTGTGCGTATCTAGTACTTCTTGACTGCGTTATTTCTGGGATTCTTAGTTCATACTATAATTCAAATACTTCCAATTATCATAGACATGTATATCCACTTCAAATCCTGGTAGAAACATGAGGAATTTTGTAAATGAAAATCTTTTCAGTGAAAAGTTTAATTTTTCTGCTCAATGTATAGTTCATATTTTACCTTGCTATGATAATCTTTAGTTAAACATTGAAATTTCGAAGATTCATAGTACATCTAAGGAAATGTAGTTGTGGAAAAATACATATATTCATTAGAAAAGATTGTTGACAGAAATCTGACGACTTTACATGAGTGATGTAAGTACACAGTAAAAGCTGTGTAATTTACATAATTCAAGGTTATTTGATACATTTGTATAAATCTAACAATCAAGTTAAGACTGAAAACAGCGGGAGGAATTTTTCTATGAAATATTTGAATCTCATGAAAATATGTATACAGTTCAACTAATAGAATGATGTTTTGTCCATTCGTTTTTGCTAATTTGTTTGTAGTTTTGTTCTGAAAGGTAATTTCTATTTGTTTTTGTAATTACAGATACATTGTTATCATCAGTATCATTCACTCTATCTTCATCATCTGAACTGTCACCCCACAAATATTTTGGATTAAGTTCTGAATATGGTTTATGATTGTAGTCAATTGTAGGTAAGGAAGTGAATTTAGTTTTTCCATAAATTGAATGTTTCGATGAACTAATCTGAGAATGTCTCCGATTCTTATGTTTAAGCCGTTGATAATCTCGATCTGGAGTCAGTCCATCACTTTGAACCTGTGAATTATTCTGACATCAGAATAAAAAAAAACAGTCGAAAAAACCATTATGTAAAGAAAATACTCTGTTTACAGAACATAAAAAGTAATTCCATTAATGGATATATCGATTTCTAAATTCAGCTCTAAGAGATTAATTAATTAATCGATTAAACCAAAATCTACATTGAATATACGTAGTGCAAATGATTTATAGCTTGTATGACTGGACTAAAACGGAAAAATACTTGAATAATAACTGATCAAACTTAGAGTTGAATTGAACTAGTTCAGTTTTAGATATTCAAATGAATTGGAAACCATACATGATTCCCAACTTATGAGTAGTATGTAGCAATTTACTTTTCATAGAATTTAGGAAGCCAGTGTAAGTTAAAGATTCGTTTACAGAGTAAAAATGATTGTGCTACTGAACACATAGAAGATCAATTGGGACCATTTTTACCGTTACCGTAGGCATTGTCATACAATTTTCTAAGTAAAAGCGATTTTAATATATAAACTTCTGAGAAACTACGAAATCACCAAAATAGCGGCCTAATTTTCTGAATGTCAAATTGTGCATCGTCAGGTGAATATAGGTTTACGTTGACAGAACCATTCACGAAGGAGTAAAAACTAGAATACCAAATTGTACATAACCTTCATCATTGTAAACTAGAACTATTCAATAACAGTTTCAATCTCTGGATATCAAAAGTAATATTCCAATTATAGTTGAATAATTTGTTCTTTGCTACGCCTCATTACTTCAGGATATCACGTGTTGATCTTGCAATTTTAGTTTTGAATATTTCTTTAGTAAACGCTTGTTGTCAGCAAGTAGAATTACAAAGTACTACGAATAAAGTACGGATAAAAACAAGTATAATAACTCTAACGTTATCAAACGGGTTACTTATAGCAGTGGTTACTACGGATGAATTACTACAAATATTTTAAATGTTAACTTATTATGGTAATTATTGATGTGTTATATTTAAATATCTGTCATTAGCAATGATCTTATATTTTCAGTACTGGTCGTGAAGAAAATGAGTAGATGGTTTAGAAAAAATATTCTAGAGTGAAGTTTAACGTCCTTTGAGATAAATTTATACTATTGATGAAAGAATTATTCCGAGGTTCTGAGGGTCATCGTTATATTAAAATAGAGAAATTTGAGTAATGTGTGCAACTAGCAGTAAAGTTCAGAACATCATTTTCATCCTCATTCGAGCTCGTTCCTAGGATGTAATTACATTTTCGTGTGGCTTTTAACATTAAGTAATAAACCAGAGTCGCTGAAACTTGTAACTGAAATGGAATACCGAAATAATCCGCTTTAGGTGCTATATATCAACTGAGATTGATCAACTGTAGCTCTTAACACTGATACCTGGAAGACCATAATGTTGGCATATATTAAACTAAAAACTAAAGAATTCCCGACTTGGCATACAATCTGGTTGCTGAAAAGTAGTTTCATTATGTTAGTTCACAAACTGACTTTAGGTGAATAAGACGGTTATTTATGAAATATTTATTTTCAGCATAGGGTTGTGGTGAGCTTTGAGATCATGTACCGACCAATGTTAAAACATCATTGAAAACCTGGGTGCGCAGGAAGACTGTTTCGTCCTAGTACGGGACTCTTCAGCAGTTGGCGTCCACATCTCAACAACTCTTTGCTGATAATTATCATGCGCCCGCTAGTGACTGACTTTGATATGCAATTCTCGGGATTCTAGTGAGAGGCCGTGTTAAGTCAAGCTAATTCGTGACGGGTAAGAGGCAGTTACTTACCGAAGACAAGGTAGGATGGTTGCTTAATATCGTGGATCGGCTGACGTTAGACAGTAATACCGTCGGATACCGGCTCAAAGCCAAAAGGTTAAACGTTTACGCGCGAGACCACAAGTCATGGGTTCGGGTCCCGTGCGAGAGATCGTAGGTGCCCACTACTGAGGAGTCCCATACTAGGACAAACGGCCGTTGAGTGCTCCCGGATTTCGAACGACAGCCTAGCATTGACCGGTTCTTGATCTTGTTTAAAAATATTTATTTATTAAATGGTCATGAAGTGGGGATCAATCGGTACCATTTAACACTCCGATGAACAATTCAGAGCTGATGTATTTAGAGGCGTTAGCCCTATTCTGTTTTGCTTTGTACATAGTAGCAATATCAGCTCAGGAGTGATTTTTATTTCAGTTACGGCAAAGCAATTTTTTGTTACTTGCCAAGAGAACCAACATTAACCGATATGCTCAGTTTGAAATTTAATTATAAAATGGGTTAAATGAGTTAATTCTATTTCATGTCGAAAGTGATCAGTGAAATCTGATGAAGACTAGATGTTGACACTGAGTACTCCACTCATTTTAGTCCATGAAGATATAGAACTTTAGGTCAAAGTGCTTCATTTGTATTAGGAACATGAAAACCCGTCTGACGACAAATAAATTGTTTATTACATACTCTAAACATGGTCAAATATCTACCTAAAGTAATAATAACACAGTAAATTTTCACAAATATAGGAGAAACCTAAAGGACCAAGAAAATTAATCAAATATACTACTTACATTACTCTGATGCAAAAGACTATTATTTTCTTTTTCCGATAACTGTCTTGCATATTGCATTAACGATGATGGTTGAAACTCTAAAACACAATTAAACATAAGTAATTATGTACACGTTCATATAAATTTTGATATATGATTTAAATAAGATCAAACTTACCTAAACCTATGATTCTAACTTTTTCATCTAAATAAGCTGAAGAGTTTAATAATGCTAAACAATTTTCTATGCCAATAGGATTTCCTGTCAGATCTATTATTTTGAAACGAGATGTTGTTTTTAATAATATCTCTGTAATGCATGCTGCACCATCATGATCAATACCACAAAATGCAATACCCAAACGCTTTAAACATGGACAACTGATAAGACTTGACTTTAAATCAAATAAACCGGAAGAGCCAATATTTAAATTGCCAGATAATTGTAACGTTGTTAAACGTGTGCAGCGTATTAATCCAGTTGCCAATTTATTCATACTTGATCGGGTTATCATATTTTCTGATAAAAACAGTCGGATTAAACCGCGTTGATTTTCATCTGAATTGAGTATTTCGGATGAAAAACAAGGTGAAGCTAGTGCCTGTGATATAGTTGAACAACCCAAGTCCTTTATATGAAAAGAAGTCAAATATGATATAAAATTATTGATATTATTTCTAAATCTTTATTAATATTTACTCAAAAAGTTATTATTTTGAAAGGAAATGGTTTCACTTAATAGTAAAACACCTCAACTAATGAAGTTCAATATTAAGCTATTAAATAATAGATATGATCTGAGGAATACAGCCAGTGCAGTCCGAATCAAAGTAAGGAGACTAGAAGTGAATGAACAGAAGATACTAATGATATATTACATTTTCAATTGACCACCGATTAACATAGATTATTCACAATGTGTATTCGCATTGAATTGGAATGTTTTATTGTTCAATAACCTTTGTTTGTCTTCAGCCTAAGTTGTGTCACACAGCAGTTACTTGCTTTTAGTGTGTATTTTTTTTTATCTTTCTTCTTGTTATCAGTAAAATTTTCGAATGAAATTTGATAACTTTTACGTAAATTTGATTTCAAGATTTGAAGAAAACTGTTATACAACTTCCCTGACTTTTCACATTTCACAACCATAACATTTGTTTTACCCAGTAGTATTGCATTTTATATTGAAAGACTAAGTGCAATCTGATTTTTTGTATTTAGTCAAATTTTCATTTCATCCACAACGCATTATTATTACGTATTATTATTAATACTATTCCTGCTAGGCCACTTGAAGCATATCCTATCTGAATAACTTCAACTGAAGTAGTCGCTTTTTAGAACTATTTTATGAAAATTATTAATGATAAATCTATTTAGGTGGACAAATTTTATTGAGAAACTAATTGAAAAGTTATTGATTTATGGTTACGTTTTACTATGATTTTATAAAGTGAAAAGTTATCTACGTGTATTAGTTAATATGGTAGCAATCTATCAACATCATTATCAGTCCAGTTTTGATTTTTCAGCTTGAAATTTATAATTAATAAATGTACAGAAATAATTTTCCACACAATTACACACCAAACTTCATTGAAACAATTAAAATGAACTAACAGTAATTTATTTTCATTGTATCAAAATGAAAGTTTCACTAGCGAATTAAAAATTAATTCCATGAAAACAGATCAATCTCTTTATGTTGTTACAGACTAAGTTCATTTTATTAATATGATTAAAGGAAAACTTCATTTTGGAATTTATTTGTTATAAAGAAACTTCATTAAAGGATAAACTATAAGTAAGTTTTTATTTCCTGGTACTTATAGTGATCAAATATATACATATATATGTAAGTGTTATATCTAGAGCTTAGATATACCGCGTATAAATTGAGCGCTCAAACGCCAGAACCCTCCAAGTCGCAAATAAGACAGAAGACCGGAGAAAGTATTTGTTGGACAAGAATCAAAATGTACAGAAAATTTCCGATACTTATAGATATTAGCGTTTGTCAAATCAACATTCTAAGTCAACCAATACACAAATAGGCATGTTATGCTACTGGCCATTGACTGAAATCCGTACGAAAGCTGAAAGTAATGCTAAATAAAAAATGCAAATATCTACAGGCTAAGTCGCAAAACTGAACAAGTAACTAGACTTCATTTTTACATACAAAATGAGTATTTTGGCAGTGTAGCTTTCTGTCAACTAGATAACGTGATTATGAATCTTTGCTTATTTTCTTGATAGGTTTATGTGCACCAACTCTTACCCTACAGCAACTTAAAGAAAACCATCTGACTAGCTTCTGAAAAGGATATTGATCTTGTCAGCTCACTGTTTCAAAGTTTCACACATAAACTCCAAGACATTCGAGAAATTCTACAAGAAATCTATTTAAGTTAATATTGCTCGTAAATTATTGTAGTTAATCCATTTAATTTTGTTTAGATAGTATAAGATAGTGGAAATATCAATTGAAACTCGAAACTGTTTTTGTCTACTGAGAAAAAAACCAAGTATTTAGTTAAACTTTTCTTTCATATCCAATAAAATCAAAATTATTTGTTACACATTTTTAATTATTGAAATTTATTTACATCTGTGAAGAATACTGTTATGAATTGGAAGATATCAATTGGTCTTTAGAAGAGAAATAAAATCTTCATGTAAGTTCTTAGGATAAACAGATATATATAAGCAAACAAATGCATAAAACTGATGGCATATTAAGGTTAGAAAGTACATTAAAAGTCATATGACTTGATAATAAAAATAATAAATTTCAGTATTTTACCGTATTTCTTTTATTCTATTGTTGTATTTAACATCGATAGTTTCTTAGATTTTATTAAGACATATTTTTCCTTTTTATAATATGAATAAATGTACTATTTGTTCCCCCCTCAAAGAAAATCAATCATCAGTATAACAACAAAAGAAAATAACCAAACGAAAATAAGATAAGTTCACAATAAACCAATATTTACTTTATAACATAATATGTGATAATTAAATTCAATTTTCTTTTATTGTTCTTATACATGGTACTCTACAAGTTTGTTTAGTTACCTCTAATATAATATTTATGTTTGAAATAACAGTGTTCTTAGTTGTTGAATATCACTTTCATACTTTAGTAGGAGTATATATTATTTTGACTGAACTCATATTTATAGCAACTCATTCAAAATTTAATTTATGTATACAACAGTTGATCATATTATTAACTTGATGATCGATATTAGCAAGGCAAGAAATGAACTCGGTGACCTTTTTGTTTAAAACACATATCTAATAGTATCCACTAATTATCTTGTTATTTATTTGAAGAAAAAAATTCAAAAATAATATAGTAAGGTATGTCTATTGTCTACTTTGAAGCTCGGTTAGGTTACATTTATACAATTATTGTGACTGAAAAGCATCGATAAGGTACATCATGAAAAATATGTGGTTAAAAACGTATTACGAAGAAAGTTGACATTGTTTTACTTTTTTTTTCTTAATGACTATAATTATGGATAATTTCAATTGAAGAGTGTACTTTTTAGTTCGTTTAATTCTACTATAACAATGATGATCTAAAAAATAAAAATTATTTTCATGAGGATATTTTGCACTTTTTTCTATCTCTCTATGGTTACATATATATTTATCTTAGGAAGGAGAGTAACATTTAATAATGTCATATAAATAACTTAGGCTTAATTTGATAAAGTACATATTTTTTATTTGTTCTAGACTAGATGTGTACCAGTCCCTTATAAGCTCCATTGTCATTGTTTGAAATGATTAAATCATCTTTTGTAGAAATAAGTACTTGAAATCTAAGTGTTAAACAGAACGAATAAATAAGAACAACCGGTATCGGATACATCAGAGAAGTTTAGAAATTTGTGTAGTAAGTTTTCATGATTAGACAGTTTAGAATAATAGTTTTCCGTAACACTCACAATCCAATTGTTGAAAATATTGACCAAACATCTTGAAGGAAATGAATTCTTCATTTTAAAAAGAATTATAAAGCAATAAACAATAATTCACTAAACTTAAAATGTAGGGTCCAAAGAAAATCTTCTGAAAAATATTTTTCTTCGGCTACTTTCCTTATTTTGAACAGTACATTTGACGAGATATGAAGCTATCAAGCAAGACAATGAAAACATCATGGATGGAATATTCAGCTAAGACAGAACATAGTACCTCCAAAATTATTTTCATTCAATAGAAATCCTAATCGCCTTAGAATATTAAATCTGTTTAATGTTTCAGCTATTTTGTTGTTACACTTATTTATTCACTATTTTAATGTAATAAAAGTGAATGCACAGCAGTTCATGACTGGCCAATGTAGGAGTAAAAAATTTAGAAATGAAGTTTTTTTAGTGATATAATGTGAACTTTGTTTGCTGTTAAACGTAAACACAATTTATATTTAGATCTAATTCTATATAATGTTTACCGTTAAAATTATACAACATCAGGATAGTTAGAGTTCACATTTATTATTCTTATTATTACTACTACAGTACATTATTGATACAATGAGAGGTAATGACAACTAACATACCATATTGAATGCTTTTGTTATCAATTGCATAGCTATGCTTTGTAAATCAAAAAATACAATGATAATTCTGTGTAAAAACACAAATATAGGTATACCTTGTTTATTATGATTGTTAATTTATGATCTGGTTTATTAACAAACAGATATTCTAATTAGAAAGCTGTAAATATACGGTAATAGAGAAAACGTATAAAGTAGTCTCAAATTATTCTTCATTTATAATTGTTCAGTATTGTTTAAAATAAATATAAATATTCGATTTTCTACACTAACAATACGAGGTGAGTTACATGAGAACATAGATGAGGACATAGAGAGCAGGTTAAATTGAACATGTCCAATCTAAAAATAACACACTAAAGAAATAAGCAAAAACTTTTTTCTAAATAAATAAATAATATGTTTGTAATATCCCAATGAATAGAAAGATTAAATTTTCTGACGTTTCGTAACTTAGTGTAAGCCACTTCCTCAGAGAATACTAATCGGGACATTAAAAATATATTATTTATTTGTTTATAAAAATCTACTCAATGCTCAATTTATTCGAAATTATCAAATCAAACCTTTGTAATGATACCTACAAACGTTTTTTCAAATAACCAAATGTCTCTTTAAATAGGAGTTAAAAAAGAAGCATTGCCATTCCAATAAAACTTTTATTTAATTTATTAATCAATATAAAAAACTTCCATTCCATAGTACTTTAATGGAATATGCATAAATGTACATCTGAGATAAATCTTGGTTGAAGTTCATTTTAAAGGTGAATTACACAATTTGTAAAAAAAACCAAGTTATCAAGCTCGAACTCATAAGTAGAGGTAGTTTTCTTATAATCAGTAATGGTTAAGTTGGAAGTGTATGAGTTTTGAAATATATATCATAATTAAAATTACTGTTGCCTTTTTATAGTTTAGAACCATCAGTATAGTTTGTGGCATATTGTTTAATATGATGATGTTAACATTTATTAACCTTATAATTAATTATTTCTAATGTTGAAAAATATGAACTCAACGTTAATCAATAAACGAGTGATGTAA